ACTGGTCAGGTCGACGTAAACAAAAAAGCAATAGCACCTACCTTAAGTTGAGAAATAGACTGCCCATTTCCGCGACGTATAAGAGGTCATTTAAAAAAAGAAGAGAGATGGAGTTCCTCTCCTTTTATATACAATTTCTGTGATCACGTGGTAAACCTGTCAATTGACCATTGTATTTATAAAAGGTTAGTAAAAATAATAACAAGCTTTTTGTTTGATAAGGATTTGAACAACACAAGGTAAATGAACTGCTCCTTTCCCACCTGACCAATAGAGAATATCTTCTGTAAATGTGATCTCAGACTTTTTAGTTCTTCAATGACATCTGTTGTTGAGTATTAAGAAAGAATTCTGCTTTTTTAAATGATTAAAACGTAAAAAATATCCAAAGAGTGCTAACATTATCAGTACTCTTAAAAAAAAATATCGGCCATATTGAAGTAATTTTTTAGTTGCATTGATTGCATGCGTGGGTATCTAGGAATTTATACGGATGTACCGTCAAAAAAATAACGTAATTTAATCATTTTTTAATTGTTTTCGTTATAATTTCTAAATAAGAAATTAAAGATTTTTATTTATACAATTAACTCACTTGTTGGATATAAGAAAGAATTATGCTTTATAAATCTTTAAAAGAGAACAAATATCCTAAGCCAGGGGTCGGCAATCTTTTTGCTATGTGCCGACTTAGAGTTTTAAAATTATTCAGTTTGCCAACAGCATACGTATTTTTATACAAGTCAAGGTCAATATATCTATTCTACAATATATATTATATATTAATATACAGTATATATATTTTAGTATATATTAAAATTGAAACAGCTAAATATGTTCTCTTAGTTCGGCTGCGTGCCATTGGAAATTGCTAATAAGAAACAAAAATAATAAAAAAAATATATATTAAACACCTGTTTTCATTACTTACAATGATGTATTCCATCTTTATAGCAACACAAAGCATGCTTCCTTTTACCGTTAGTGAATATTTCATTACTGAATAGGGGAGAACGGGATGCGTGACTAATACATATATTAAATTCCAATGTGCCTTATATGATAAAATAGATTTAACCTTGTCTACCGTGAAGGAGAAAGATTTTTAAAATGACAAGAACATGATTAAAAGACAAATGAGATTTATTTATTAGCGAAACGTATATTTTTTAGCGTTACTTTCGGTAAACTTTCAGATTAAGCCCTGAAACCAATTGTAATGAAATTTACATTCTGGTGTAAATTTGCATGCTGATTTCGAAAATGAAAGTTTGCGGAAGAAAGCCGTTTAGGAGGTATCGACAATATAATTTCGGCCTCATTTGCGTCTTGGTTACAGCCCGGCCGCCATTACTGGCTTTGTTTACATACGTTTGACTCGAATAGTAATGCGCAAAAGCTTCACGTATTTTGATTACTGCGCAATGCGCCAACTTTAAATTAAATTTCGCGAATTGCGCAGTAATCAAGACGAGTAAAAAGATAAGAAGATCAGTAAAAAGGCCGTTAACTAAGTAAACTTCCGCGCATTATTACTCGATGCAAACGTATGTAAACAACACTAGTAATGGTAGTTGGGCTGTAATGGCGACGCGAATGAGGCCGAAATTATATTGTCGATAACTCCTAAACGGTTTTCTTCCGCAAACTTTTATTTTCGGAATAATCATGCAAATTTACACCAGAATGGAAATTTACATTACAATTTGTTTCCGGAGCTTAATCTGCAAAGTCACCTTACTTTCATCCGTTATTCATATCTGCATAAGTATTAAAACCAGAGGTTTGTCTGTGACTCCCCCCCTCCCCACACGCATAAGTAGACATGGAAAGAAAGACTTAAGCAAATTTTCCTCAAAATCCTTATTAAGTTTTAATACGTTTTTGTAAACGAGGGGAATCTAGTTCCGTTTGATCCCCTGATGACTGAAAATATCAGCATTCCTTTTTTTTGAAATCCCCGGTAGTTAGAATTTCGAAGAGGCGATGGATTAGCGAAGGAGCCTCCTCCAATTACCAGATGAGGTAGATAATCTGGAGGATGGCTAGAAACTGAAAATGAAGTCAGCCGGAATGAGCGGCGGTAAAGTGATTTAGAAAGACAATCAGCTAATGGCGGGCATCGAGTTGCGAACACCATCAGCCGGCAATTGTTAGTGGCTTCAATTTTAAGAAGATGAACGCGGCAAATTTGCCTTCAGGAAACAGCAACCACAGATTTAGTTTCTGTAAACAAGAAAATCATCATCATCATCGTCATCATCAACAGCAACAACAAAAACATAATTAGTTATTGTAAGCAACAACAACAATAATAAATTTAAGTACTGTAAAAATCAAGAATCACGACAACAGACTTAGTTACTGGAAACAAAATCAACATTATCATCATCATCATCATCATCATCAACAACAACAATAACAAAACAACAACATAATTAGGTACTGTAAGCAACAACAACAATAAATGTAACTACTGTAACAAAGCATCAAGCACAACAACAGAATTACTTTTCATTTACTTTGGCTCTTGAAGCCTTTGGATAAAACAAGAACATCATCATCATCATTATCATTATAAAAAACAAAAACAACAAGAACATCATCATCATCATCATCATCATTATCATCAAAAACAAAAACAACAAGAACATCATCATCATTATCATCAAAAACAACAAGAACATCATCATCATCAAAAACGGAAACAACAACGTAATTGCAAGGAACTGTAAAATCAACACGGAGGAGTAATGGATAGCGGTTAGGATTGAGAAATCGGAGAGCTGAGTTCGAATTCCAGTCGAATCCATTACATTCATTTACGTACTAAAATCATCTTCTCCTCCCAGCTATGGACAGACCGGAATCTATAGCTTTGGATGGCAAACTAGCAACCTACTGCGTGAAAAAAAAAATCGAAAGATACATGATCGTCTAAGCAGAGAGGAACCCAGACGAGGCTATGCCGAAGGGCAGAGTCTAGTTTGGGATGGTAAACAGCTATCCGACCCCGTTTTTTACAGGGTCTACGGGGAATTTTTGCCCGAGCCTACAGGCTCGGTTTTACCCCGCATTAAATAACGGCCTTGTGGCACATGCTGCCTCGCGGGGTGGTTAGGGAAATAACTTTGCTTCGGCAATTAGTTGGAGATTCGTCTACAGTTAAGCTAGTCGAACTTTCTGCCTTCGGGCGGAGAGGAACCCAGACGAGGCTATGTCGAAGGGCAGAGTCTTGTCTGGGGTGGTAGACAGCTACCCGACCCTGTTTTTTACGGGGTCTACAGGGAATTTTTGCTCTAGCCTACGGTCTCGGTTTTACCCTACATTAAAAACGGCCTTGTGCCACATCCTGCTTCGCGGGGAGATAAGGTAAATAACCTTGCTTCGGCAATTAGTTGGAGATTCGTCTTTTTGGCCAATAAACCAGGACATCACCGTTGTTAAAAGAAAAAAAATTTCTCAACGACGTGTTTTTTTTTCTGTTGACCATAATACCAGTGTCAAAGATATTGATAAGCTTAAGAAATACACCGATATCTGGATTGAAATTTCTAGAATGTACGACGTCCCAGCAACTAGTGACTCATTTACCATTGGCGAGTATATTTCACAGAACTTAAAATCCTACATTGCGAAAATAGGAATAAAACCTTGTATCCCATCCGCTTCAGAAGTCTTCCTTGCTTTGTAATGCAATAGATAGCCTCTGTCTGAGCTCGTACCATTTGACGGAGAGCACCTATAATGCAAGATCTACGGTTGAAAACGAAAAATCTTGCGGAAGAAGAACGTATACTACTACTACTACTACTACTTCTACTACTAGTAATAATAATAATAAAAGAAATTCAAACTTGTGTTCTTGGTGATCGCCTTTTGAGCTTCGTATGTGAACATGAAAACTGATATTTGTAATTGTATTTTCATTCATTGGAATCTGTTTTAAGGAGAGTTAGAAGAGACAAATTTTATTGGGAAAACAAAAGATGTCTTGTAGAACGTAAGCAAAATATTAGGAAATATTAGAAAATACCGTTAGAAACAACAACAGAGAATGCTGAACTGCTATGTAATATCTAATACCAGTGAGTACTGGACAATTCCGTATATATAAAGAAGAGACAAGAAACGACTGAGATGTTTTTTCTGTCGAGGAACACGAAGCAAACTATAGGAAGGGTGGAAGTCTTAAGAAAAGTAGGAACAAAAAAGGAAATAAGAAAGAGATTTCTGGGACATATAATGGGAAGGAAGACCTGGAGATTTTAACACTGACAGAACATAGTGAAGGCAAGATAAGCAGGCGAAAATAATCTACTTAATTAGTATGGGAATGGATGAGATTACAAAGAGAGTCAAGACATTGTAGAGAGTCATGATCGTCTGAGAGAAATCGGCACATAACAGAACACACGACGTATATATATATATATATATATATATATATATATATATATATATGTTGTGGTCAAAGTTGCTTGTACCACGGTGATGGTTCAAGGTTAGAACCAATGAAAGAATAACACGAACACAGGTATGGAATCAGATATATTACAACATATAATACAAAGAAGTAGAAGTATTAGTAATGACTATCAGATTTGGTTAGAGTGAACTATGTTGTCTCCACAAGTATCACTATTCCAATTTCCTTACAATATGCTCTCAATTATCTCTCCTCGTCTTACAATATCCCTCATAGCTCTTGAGAGGCGCAGTATTTATAATGTCAGGAATAGTCCATTATTATTATGGGTAAGTTCCCATAACAATATATATATATATATATATATATATATATATATATATATATATATATATAAGAACAACGGGACAAAAGAGGACGGAAGACAAACAAGCGCAAATAATAATGTGTGTTTGCTGATATGAAAAGTAAAAATAAGAAACCAAAACATTACGCTTCAGCATCAACCAGCGACCAACACAATCATACTGAACTATATGCATATGGACATTAAAACTGGTCTAGTTCTCACGGCAATTCCATTTTGTGAGAAGCAACAGACATCATGAACTGGTCCTGACGAGACATCTTTAATAGTAATGGCGGATGGTTCAGCCGAAGGTTGGATGGGGAGTGACTCTTTGAATGGAACTTCCGATTCATTTTGATACTTTTTCTTTTTCTCAATTTTTTTTTCTTTTCGTTTATTTACACTCGTTCAGAAAGAAACGACAACCTAATGCGGAGAAAGTCTTCTACCTTGTCAGTCATGAATCGAAAAGAGATGTGATCGCCCAAGCGTCTATCACGTATGGTACTTAACCGACCGGCTCGTGAGTGCCATCGATGAAGACAACGCGCGCCCAACCGTTTGCCTCTGTTGTGCCGGACAAATGCGGCCGCAATTCGAATGCCAACTCTAGCAGCCACGGCATTCGAAGCTGGTGAAAGACGCTCGGCAGGCGTGATCGTCATCGTCGACGTACGTGTGCGCGGCTCCAGCACGTCGGTGGGCGCGTCTACTAAGGCAACGATTGCTGGACTTTTACAGATTTCAGCGGACTTCCGATTTGAAGTGGTGGTGCTCTTAGTCGTACTCAAAACTGCGCTTTGTGAGGTTGACGTCGTCGGCACGCCCACCCATCTGCGTCTTTTGGAACCAACAATTGCCGCCGCAATTCTGATCGATTCGAAAGCGAACATTAGCAGACGCTTTCGGAACAGTGACATTTTTGTTGACTCGTTAAAATTCTTAAGTGATCTTATATTTTTCTTGAGCCACAACAGTTAGCTACGATGTTATAGGGAAGGTTCTCTATTTAGTCTTCGGCAATAATTAGTGCTGTCACCGTTAAGATCTATCTTGCAACAATATGAAATAGAGCATTTCGCCAAAAGACAACCATATGATATTTATATCATATCATATCATATGGTTCAACCCGCCGTACAGTAAATACGTAAAAACAAACCTAGGTTAAATATTCTTCAAACTCTTACACAAACACTTGCCTGAATGAAGCACTCTACACAAAATATTCAACAAAAACACTGTAAAAACAGCTACAATTGCACCGAGAACATGGCACAAATAATAAAAAAGTACAACAGGAAAACTATCAACAAACCACCCGAACAAATTAAAACCAACGTGTAACTGTAGAATAAAGAATGAATTTTCCTTAAACGGTGCTTACAAAACAACGTAATATACCAAGTCACGGTAAAATCTCCAGATAATGAAGAAAAAGTATACATAGGAGTAACTGAAGGACTCTGGAAACAAATAAACTACGCACACAAAACATATTTCACAAATAGTAAACACGCGAACAGCACAATGCTTTCTAAGTATATTTGAGAAATTAAAAGCAAATCACACCAAAAATATCGTACAAAATAAGGAAAAGATCATCACCCTACAATAATCAGTTCAAAACATGTAAACTTTGCTTCGAGGAAAAATAGCTGTTATCACCTTCCCAGACCAAAAGAAATTATTAAATAAATGATCTGAGCCTCTCTCAAAATGCAGGCATGAAAACAAATTTCTATTGCGTTACATAAAAATCGAAAACTGAAAAGAATAAGAATAAACATAATAATAATAATAATAATAATAATAATAAACAAGTAAAATAAATTTATCCAAGCAAATAACAAACAAATTAATAAACCGCTCCCGTTAGAACAGACGAAATAGAAAAAAAAAGTAAAAATAATCTATCCAAATAAATAAATAAAGTAAATAATGAAAAAATTAACAAACCAATCCCGCCAAAATAACCGTTAGAATAGGCTACAACAATCAATCCAAAAATTGTACGAAAAATAGCTACAACTGCTATATAACGATAAAAATTACAACGTCACTTAAAATTCGAAAACTGAAAAGAGTAAATAAAAATATACAAAATAAAAAATAAAAATAAGTAAATAAATAAATCCAAATAAATAAGTAAATGAACAAATTAACAAACCACTCCCACTAAAATAACCGATAGAGCAAATAAAAATAAATAAGCAAAAACAAGTAAAAATAATCAATCCAAATAAATGAATAAAATAATAAACAAATAAAAAACTGCGCCCCCTGCCAAAATAACAAAATAAGCTACAACAATCAATCTAAAAATTGGACGAATATATAGCTTTACTTATCTTTCTAAACCAAAACAAACTATTAAATAAGCGACCTATGCAAATTCCCTCAAAAGTTTTTACTACGTTAATAAAAGTTTGAAAACCGAAAAGAATAAATAAATGTATAAAATAAAAAAGAAAAATAAATAAAAACAAGTAAGATAAATTAACCCGAATAAATAAATAAATAAATAAGCCACCCCCGCCAAAATAACCGCCAGAATGGACTACCCATAATGCACCACTGACGCATATATATAAATAGTCGAGAGAAAAACAACACTCGCGGCCTGTCGAGCGCGTCTAACATGAAACAGCCTGTCGCCTCTGAAAGTTGACTTCAGTGTTCACTGATATATATATATATATATATATATATATATATATATATATATTCCCTATATTTTGGCACAATATTTTCATTTAAGCATGTCTGATTAATTAATTTAGACATGTTGCGTTTGTTTATTTTGAATTAGATCTTATCGAGAGAGAGAGAGAGAGAGAGAGAGAGAGAGAGAGGTGGAGAGAGAAAGAGAGAAATGACTGACATAGTGAGGACAGATCCATCTACCTATTTATCTATCAAATAAATAAATAAAAGTTTCGTAGACTTGGGACCTGCTAGTCAGATATCGCATGTGAAATCGGAAGATTTGAAATTTTATTTTTACGTTGCCTATTGTTGCTCTATTTTATTTCATATTGGGTACGTCATTTGGAAAAAAATCTGCTCACATCGAACACCTTAGTCTCCAGTAATTTACAACATATTTTGTTATATATATATATATATATATATATATATATATATATATATATATATATATATAAATTCCCAAGAGGATAGAATCCAGGTAGAACTCAATGCCCAGGACAGAGTAAGAATATAATATAAAATATCCCATGGTTATAATTTATTACATTGGAATCGTTATCACGATCCAAATCATCAGGTCTACAAATTCAATATATATATATATATATATATATATATATAGTTTATTTTATTGTAGATGATCCAGAGCCCTTTAAAAGGGCTGTGGTGAAATAATTTATTACATGGAACCTTAAAGTGGTCTGCTTTTATTCAAATATATATATCCAAATGTAAAAGAACGAAGAGAATATAAATTCAAACGTTCATAACATTAATTTAAAAAAAGGGCTCAATACGAGAGTAGAGCAATAAATATTTATTATAAACTATTACATTGGAACATGCAAGTTACCACAAGAAAAATGCATATTTGTCTCGACGTCTAAAGACGTCTCATCAGGTGCTTAACGATGGTAGTAACAAATATGCATTTTCGTTGTGGTAACTTGCATGTTCCAATGTAACAGTTTATAATATGTAGTCGACTCTCCCGTCGAATTCGACGTATGAGGGCCAAGCAGATCAGTTCCTAGGAAACCGACAACCCGACAACATCACATAAGATTTGATTATAGCGGTGAAGGTTTCGTGCAGGACCCTCCACACTTTTTGAAGGGCCGAATTCAGAGACCCGGTGCACTAAGTGCCACAAGGTCCTCAAACGACCCCCCGCAGGTTTTGAATTCAGAGTTGTCCTTCTCCTAGACCAGTTTCCATCCGAGGCTATAGAACCCAGTCTGTCCTGCTATTTTATCCATAGCTGGAGGGAGAAGAAGAGGATTCACACCTTTCCCAAGGGTATTAGCACGTAAGTGAATGTAATGGATTCGACTGAAATTCGACATTGTCAACCATAATCGCGTCCAGCTCTCATATTTGGGAAGCATACTTATTGGACCCCGGAGAAAGGTTTTAACGTATTTTTGTTCATCCTGAGGAAAAGATTATTCTCTTACTTTTCAGTTATACGAAAATGTCTTTAATAGTAATACATATCGCTTGCTATCGTTCGTTGGAAGACAATAACTTCTCATTTATTATTAATTTTCTGACAAACAAAATATTTCTGTGTTTTAAAAAAATATTTTCACAGAATAATCACCCCACTCCGCTTCGCTCTAAATGTATTTTTTACTCTTCACAATATTTATTCAGTGGAGATTTTCCAGGATAAATGGAATCAACTTTTTATTTTTTTTTACTCTACTAATTTCTATAACGCAGTTACTATACCTAATCCTGAAAATGAACCCAGTTATACGTGAATAACAACAATAAGAAAGGCATAGTATAGCTGGCCACCCGTACTCGAGGATACCCGTCTATTAGGGTGGCTAGCCAATCCCTATTGCAGATGCTTGCTCAGGCGCATTTCTGTTTATTCAATATCCACAGAGACCACTTGTGGTTTATACTGCAACTATGTTGAGCAGACCTTACTTACAGTTTCTGGTAAAGAGCGTGTTATCTAGCGTGATCAACAATTTGAACAAGGCCAGTATGTTCACGCCCTCGGCCACGATGACTTGTGAGTTCGTGCTAGATTCCGTCTACCCAGTTTCAGTCACAAGGCTTGGGTCAACCCATGATATTATTTTCAGGTAATTTTCCACGCTGGGATTGACCCCTCCAGTCCGATAAGATTCATTCCTGACAAATCGACCATGGTGAGAATCGAACCCGGGTCTCATGGTCAGAATGCGAACGTCCTAACCAACCGGTCACGTGCCCATAAGAAAAATATTGTAAAATAAACATTTATTAAACATTTAATTTATTTTATCTTTGCATAAAAAATCTTCTGGGATAACTTTTTAGGATTAATCCAACACTTTAGAATAACTTCCTTTAACAAACCTGTACAGTTCAAATAAGCCGTTTCTTTTTTTTTTTTTTTTTTAGTATTGAACGGCTTCAGCGCAATATTGGAACATCAGCTAGCATTTATTGCTGACATAAACCGTCAAATTTCAAAGAAGTATCTTTATAATTCACAAATTTAAACAATACAGAAAAATCAAATCCATAATTTTTAAAGTTTAAAAGTTTGCATTATCTATTAATAAACTTATAAATACTTAATGAAAAAAAAATCTCTCAATTTTGATAAATCCATTTGTATCTTTTCTGTAAGTTCTTTCTTATCTGCCTTAGCGGACTTATCTGATTGAATGTATGATTTTAATTAAATACTTTCATTGTAATTGTTCGGATGAGCTGTCGTACCTAGACTCTATGAATTTAAGCGCTGTAATCGACCGGTGGCGAGATCTCATCAATTTACAGTTAAGCTGGCTAGATGCAGCCGTAAGTTCTATGCTAACGGTTTCTTCTATCGCACTTCTCGCTTGTACAACTCCCTTCCGGCTCCATGCTTCCCAGCCAACTTTAATCTGCAAAAAATATAATGCAATATCAATCGCTATCTAATCTCCTCCTGATTACTCTTTCCTTTTCCCGCTCATTATTTATGTTTCTGTCACTAATTCCTCCACAACCTGTAACTTCTTGCGTCTTAGTGGATGTACTACCTTGCTTGGGCTGAAACCAATTGAAAATAAAAAAAACTTACCTACCGTGAGGTTATAGCCGCGAAAAACGCATCTTGTCATTAATGTAAATTGCGGCGTACAAGTCGAGATTTCAAGCCTAAAAAATATTTCCAAAAATAGGGGTAGATTTGGCAGGTATAAAATTGTTGTGGAGT